GTATCAAAACCAGCAACTGCTTCGAGGATGATGCTTTTCTGCCCTTTCCGATTCCCATAATCCCCTTACCAAGCAGATGGACAATTTTTCTATTGCCAGTGCATGCAGTCAATGCTACCAATCATTCCAGGAAATCCACGAGACTCAACTTTTTGTAGAAGTCGTTGCAGGTCCCTGGGCGTAGGTTTGCGCAAGTCGTCCCTGGTTTACAGATTTTCCACTGCATCACAAAATCGCACCAAGCTCTCCAAAATAGTGGACTTCCCCATCCGGGCAATCTCATCTACCCGATCAGCAGATGACCCATACGCCAACATTCGTATCACAGCTGTGAACTTTTGCTCAGGAAGCAGCCCCAAATCTCCAGCACAATTTTTCTTTTGAACAAAGTAGTCATCATAATTGCAAATATCATGCATGACTTTATTGAACAAATGAGGTTGCATTCTATATCTTGCTCAAAAATAGTACAGAGATTGTGGGATAAAATAATCTTCCATAAGATTCTTACCCCGAGAATGTCTATGTCTGTCCACATTCGGTGCCCGGCCTTCTCTTGAACCACGGCGACCCTGGTTTTCTTCCTCCAGCAAAGCAACGGCCACACCAAGTTGCTCATCTAGTTCTCTCTGCGCCCTTTTTCTTGCAGCTCTTCTACGCATTCTTGCTCGCCTTTCTCGCTCTTGCCTCTCCAAAACCTCTTCCATGTCGTCTGACATTGAGAATGGAGAATAAAATCTAAAATATGAGAAATAAAATATAAAATATGAGAAATGAAGATGTAGAGAAGATATGGTGTGAGATGCATGAGCTGAGCCTCTGCTTTTATAGAAAAATTTAGGCAGATAGAGATGACACGTGGCGCAATTTTAGAGGGTAAAAATCTTATCTGAAATTTGAAATTCACATGAAATTTTAAATTTTAAATTTATCTGGAATTTGAATTTTGAAATGCATCTGAAATTTGAAATTTATCTGAAATTTATTTGAAATTTGAAACCGAAAATCTGATCTGAAATGGGTGTTTAAATTTGAAACCCTCTGATATGAATAGTATTGACACGTAGGAACCCAAAAATCTTATCCGAAAATATTATCCAAATTAATTGTTTAAGTAAACAAAGTTGTGAAAAAAACAAAAAAATGAATAGTATTTGCAGTGGCAAGCCTTACACTGTTGGAAACACAATTTTTTTTTTGTGCTAGGGCAGCCACTATTCATGTGAATAGTAGCCGCCCTATGGCCAACTGGTGAAAGTGCTCTTAAAAGCAATTACCCATGCACCTAAGGTCCTGCCTGTGTTCGAATCTCGTGCCATTAATATCGCTTGTACTAATATATGTGTGTGTAAGTTCAAACCTTGGAAATTGGTGTCTCATCAATAACATGCATTTAAAGATACAAACAACTTTAGTTCTGCATAAATGTTGATTGACATTAGTAGGGCTTTTGTTAACTTAACCTCATGGCCATCAATTCAGATAGAAAAACAAAAAAAAAACAAAAACAAAAACAATTAACAGCCTAATTAATATCAATCCACAAGTGGATTATCTGGGAAGTACTTGTTCGTATCACTATACAAGTGGAAAGCTTCCTGTCATCGCAATATGGTCAAGGGTCTGTCTTAGACCATGCTTGAGTACTGCTTTTCTACCTAAGCTGAACCCTTCTCCACTAGCTGACTCAATTCGGCGTTGATAAAAGTTACCAAGCTTCTTCTCGAAGTCTGACACAGAATTCATCACAAATTCCAGCCACATATGGCCCAACACTTGGCTCATACCAGTTTTAACCTGTGGGCTCATATTTCGAATTCGATAACATTTAACCTTTAGCCATGCTTGCATCATAGTCTGAGCCATAAGGAACCCTGTCGTCAGCCTAGGAAGACCACTCAGTATCTTAATTGCTGTTACTTCAGGGCGCTTCAAGCCAAATAAAATAGATCTCTTGATGTTGGTATTAAATTTAGCTATTACCAACTGTTTACTCACTTCTAAGAATTCTGTTTGATCGACAAAGTGTATTAGAATATTTTTCTCTTGAAATTTCAAATCAAACACTTCTTGTATTTCAAGGAAAAGGGCTTCGCATTGGCCAGCTTCCATAATCGCCGAGTCCCGGCACTCCAGACATTGATGCCGACCATCATTAAGTAAATAATATATGGTGTTCCTTGGCTTTTTTCTTGCACAGCCACAACATATAGGAGTTCCGTCGTCCTCGTGAGAGGGACAGGATCTTTGTAGCGAGATAGGATGTAGCATAGCCACCACTTTACCATCTGAATTTGATGGGATTAAATTTTCACAAACACCACATCGTAAATGCCGCTCCATGTAGCAGGGTGTGTGGTAAGGATGATTCTCATGCAATTTAAATGTGGGACGAATAAATGGAAGATTGCAAGCATGACAGCGAAAACAATGTGGATGCCACTGATGAGTGCCCTTCTCATTTTTATATGCCCCATGTTCAATATTCCTCTTGCAGCCAACACACACCTTGAAATTAGGAGGAGAATCCATGTTCACACCTTCTTCAACAGCATTGGGAACTTTGCCAACTTGTTCATCTTTCTTCGACTGAACTTTAGTGGGTTCATCATCTTTTCGATGTTCGATTGAATTAGGCAGCTTCTTAGGCAGTTGCAAGTTAAGATCTCTTTCAGGCTCATCCCTTCTGGGGGGATGAAAATCTTCACTGTCTTGTAATCCCAAGAGTTGATATCGTTCCTCTACGTGATGTTCAATCAAGAGACATTCCTTTCTGGTTGTAATAATGATTCTGCTCCCCAAACCAAACCAGTCTTTCTTTCCGGCCAATACTTCCAGTTGGTTTAACTGATCCGCATCATCAATAACGAGAAGCACTTTTTTATTACACAAACAGTACTTGGTCATGTCGGATCCACTATGAACATTCCAAACATCATTCACTTTTTGCTTCAAGATTGGGGAAAGAAGTTGTTTTTGTAAATGAACAAGCCCATGTGTTGCACAAACCTCTCTCACACTAGCAAGAAAGCAGCTAACATCAAAGTGATGGGAAATTCTGTCATAAACAAGTCTTGCTGTAGTTGTCTTACCTGCGCCACCATCCCCCCATATCCCTATAAAGCGAACATCTTTTGCCTCACGATCTAATAGCAATTCTATTTTCTTCAGTCTAAAATCAATTCCCACCAACTTTGTTAGGGAACCTGGCAATGTGAATATTGTAGGATGCACTTTGTTACACACTTCTTCCACAATTTCATTGATAAGTTCGCTCTCATCTCTACAACCAAGAAAAAACCATCTGGTGAGATTACATATATGAAGCATAATTTGAAAGAACTAATACCTGTGCATTTGTTCATGCTTACCTGTCTTTAGAAATCCAGCCAGAGATATTACTAACTTTTGTAAGAGCAGCTCTCCAGCGTTGTAGCTTTGCTTTGTCTTTTTTAAAGTTCTTTTTGTGATTGTTGAAGGCTTCCGCAAAAGTTCCCATTTGTTTTCGGACATCAGTAGGATCTACATCATAAAAAATTGGTAGAATGGTGTCCACGTCCTTGCACTCAACAATCTTTGAAACCTCATCTAGGCACCAGGATGAAGAAGCATAGTTTGGTGAGAGGATAACGATCGCAATCCACGATTCTTCAATTGCTCTCAGTAGATTTGGTGAAATAGTTGTACCTCTTACAAGTTCATTGTCGTCCCTGAAAGTTGTAATTGAGCGAAACCACAATCTGTGATATAGATGAGCCGCAAAACGTCTGCGAGTGTCTATGCCCCTAAAACTCAAGAACACATGGTATTTCCATGGAGAAGCTGAAGGAGCAGAAGTGGAGGCTCTTTGGCTGCTCAAAGCCATTCGGCAGTGGGTGCAAGTAATCTGCTAGAAACACAAAAGATACAAGAACTTTTGGTAGAATATTAGAGAGAAAAAGTGCATACTATTTCATATACTGAAATAACCTGTAAGATTGCTATACAAATCTGTCAATTAATACAAGCAAGATCGTAGATGGCACGAAAGTGAAACTGGAACAAGGAATATGGAAATCGCACAGAGAGAGAGACAATCGAAGAAGAACATAGAGAAAAATTATGAGAGGGCGGCAGGTGTGTGTTGATGAAACCAAAGAATAGACACAGGAAGAGATGTTGTTTGACTTTGGTGAGGGAGTGGAAAATGTGTCCACCCTTCCTCTCCGCTCTTTGAGATTTCAGCTCACTAAGTGTTTCCTCTCTTTCCCCGTCATTGGTTAAGGAGTTTTTGTTTTTACTGAAAGGCTGTAGATTCTTTCGTATGATTTCCGGTCTCTCCGTGTGGAGGCTGGCATTTTAGCAGGGACATGCTGCTTGCCTCATTCTTTAAGGGCATTCCTCCTTCCAATAAAATATTATTCGACACATATACAAAAATAATTAATCAATAATATCAAAAATAAAATAAAAACTGATACATTGGATGTGAATCACAAAACAAAAGGCTTTATTTAATGAGTAATGCTACACTTACCACATTTTTATCCCACATTTCTATACCACATGATGTGGCATGTCCATTTTATATGCCACATCAATTAAATCAATGAAGTGCATTTTAATTAAGGCAATTAGAAAAACAAATACTGGAATAAACCATTAAAGAAAAGAAAATATTAAATCATTTTAATTAATGTGGCTGTCCACCTCAACTGCCACATAAGGTGGTATGAGAATGTGGTATACAAATGTGGTAAGAGTAGCATTATTCTTATTTAATTAAGGTCCTCGAATATTCGACAAGGCCAAACAACTAGAGTAATCCATAAGGCAAAAAGGGCACCGATCCCCATAGATATATATAATTCAAGGATGTATAATCTGAAATTTTGTTTTTGTCAGTTCGTATACAACATACCTAGTAACCCATGACCATCCTCTTTCTGAAAATAAAACGGGCGTAACAACATACCTAGTAACCCATGATCATCCTCTTTCTTCACACACACAAATTCAACGAGTCTTATAGTATCTAACAGTCTGAGAATTAAGTTGACTAGTACCATGATCATCTCAATGTTGTTAGAGGTCCAGATTTTCAATCCTTCTCAACTGATTAAAAAAAATGAATTAGTGGCAAATATAAATAACTCGATTTTAACACAACGAACATATATCTAAATGTTGCGACATTTGGGACCTATTGCAAAAATTAGGCACAGATTTTTATATTCAGTAATATATTATCAATAGAGGATCCCAAAGGCATGCCTTTGCGATCATCGAAGCAAGGCAGCAAGGAATCGCCTAAGGTGGTCAGCTATTTCACAAGTTGCACGTGTAGCGCGGGGAGGCGTGAGGAGGCGTTGCAAGCAGTGGCCAGGAGGAGTGAGGCAGCGCTGTGCAATCTGGAAATTGGCTACGCGAGGAAGACGACTTTGCGAGGTAGAAGACTTCACGTGTTTAATTTTTTAGGGTTATTCAATTGAAACGACGTTGTTTCAATTTTAGTGTTTTAAAAACTTTAAATGAAACGATGTCGTTTCACTTTGAGTGTTTTGAAAAAAATTAAACGCAAGTTTCTCTTTTTTTGTTCTTACCTTTATTCTAATAAAATTAAGGTAAGAATATATTAATATATTTCTTGCATTGTTCTAACTCCAGGCAGCTGTAGCCTTTATTCTACTTACCCTTTTTTTTTTTCTAAATTAATATATTAACACATGGACCTATATATATATATATATATTGGTATAGTACAACCCTAATTTCTACCTTACCAAATAATCTCCATCAATTTCAAGAATTCTCTTCATCTTTTGTTGTATTGTATTATTTATAAATTTTTCTTATTAAAATAAATTAATATTCAAAAGGCTTACGCCTCACTGTTTTAAGGCTTACACCTTGCATAGAGCAACTAAAACGCCTCGCCTTTCAAAACATTGGTCCCTAATACAACAATAGGCACTATTTTCAATCCCTAAAAAAGGCAAAAGAAACTGATAGCACTCAATGCCTTTGATCCTTTTTCTAGTAGTATTCGGACTCTTGCCTCTCTGCCCTTGAGAGAGAGCTCTGCGAGGCAAGTGAGCAGAGCTAGAATAGCCAACACCATAGCAACAAGTGCAAAGTGAGGCTTGCTTGGGGAGGTGATCTGTTCAAAAACAGCTGATATAATCTCCAGGCAGAAACTAGCCAGTAAAATCATCCACTGTGCTGAAACAGAAATATTTGTTACGTTTCCCCTAATTTGCCTTGGATGGTGAATCTGAATCTGATTGTTGCCCTCATGATCTAAATACTCAGGCAACTTACGCAAACGCAGACATATATGGTCATTTAGTGCAAATTTAAGGAAAGAAACGAGAGATGCTCGGAATTCGAGGGAATGAGGAGCAAAAAGTCGTCGTGAGGGATTATGTAGTTTCCAGCAAACAAATCGAAAGAGATGAATACTGTTAACGATACTGTTAGGGAAACGAATAATGCCATCATCTCTATCGAAAGTGGGTGTGTTGGGGAAAAGAGGCCTCGCTCCAAAACTATCCGAATTCATCGACTTCTTCCCCTTCTTTCGCCGTATTAACTTGGAAGAGTCCTTCTTCGGACCCGAGAACTTGTAGGAAGGACCAGGCGCCTTCACCATGGCCATCTCCGTCTTAGGCCATCCCCATTGCAAGTCTGTATCCTCCATTTCAGATACACAAAATATAGAAAGAGACCCAAAAGAATTGTTTACTCCAGAGACTGAACCGGAAGGAAGTGAAAAACTCTTTGGTTCACCCAGTATTTAAACAGAAATTATCCACAAATTAGTGACCCCTTTCCAACGGGCCCCACACGGACAGGAAAGCGTGTGTGACGGAAACCACATGCAACCTTCCAGGAAGCAGGTTTTTACAAGCGTAGACTCCGGGCTGGACTGACCAAAAACAAAGACACCGCACGGGCGATTGTCCCTTCCAGGAAGCAGGTTTTTACAAGCATAGACTCCGGACTGCATTGACCAAAAACAAAGACTCCGCGCGGGAGATTGTCACTCCGACAATCTAACAAAAAAAAAAAATTTACTAATGGAAGTTTCTAGAACCGCTTTATCAATTCATGCAACTTTTACACATTTTTCATTGTAGCTTTTATTTTCTCTTTGCTAAATAATTATTTTCCCTCGTTAAATCATATTGTTTTAATTTGTTATTGACACATTTTATATTTTCAATTCTTTTCTATACATGAGGATTTTTTTTAAAAAAAAACGCAAACTCACTCATATAAATGAGTGAACATCATTCAATATAAGCAATTTTACCACTCTAGTTTTTTTTTTTACCGTTGATATCATTTGTCGTACGGTGATATCGATCAGAGTTCATTGTCATACACTAACATTGATCAAAGTTCATTGTCGCACGGTGACATAGACTGGAGGTTACTATCGTCCAATGTTATCGACTACAGTCTAGAGGTTACACTAACTGAAAAATAACCTATTTCGTCTAATGAAGAAGTATGTACACAAAACGAGAGCTTTTTTTTTTTTTTTTAAGGAATAGATAAACATGGGTTACTTGAGCTGTGGTGTTACTCTGTTTCTTTGACCGGATTTTCGTTCTTTGGGGATTTTTTAAGGGGCCAAGGTTTGAACGAGGCCACCTAAGTTGTTGCACCTCTGTTTTCTAGTTTTCTAGTTGTAACTCATATGTCTTTGCAGCGAAATTAATGAAATATTTCTCTTTGATTAAAAAAAAATTACTATCACATCATCTAGGTGTTTTAAAATTTGATTTTAAAAAACGTATTTGTGAAATAATTTGGCCCTTTTAACACTACATTTAATTTTTTTTTATTAATCTCTTTATCAAATGATAAAAATATAAAATGCATAACAATAAACACAAATGTATAAGTAATTTAAATGGCTCTAACATGCCAGAGATTGATCTGCAGTCGCCATTGCCAATGCCAAAGAAAGCAATCCGCGGAGCCATCATACACCAATTTCTTCCTCCGCCCTCCTTTCCCACATCCTTAGGCCCAATTCTAGTAGTAGGAGTTTTAGTATATAGTAGGGCCTTCATCTGGTTATTAAAAAACTTCTAGGCCCGTTTGCACTTGGGCGATTTTGGCAGCATGCAAGAATTCAAAGCAGAGCCCGTTTTCTGCCGTAACCCTTTCGCACCCATTTAGTCAGTTAGGAAATTAACTTCATCATGCAAGGGGGATAATTAGCTTTTCTTTTTTTATTTGTCAAAGGGGCCAATTAACTTGTATCGTTCTGAATTCTGATCTCCCTTTATTATATCCATTTTATTTATCCCATCTATCATTTCACTTTGCCATCCTTCCTACTTTGATGATGCAATATTGATAAACATAAATTCTAGGCATCTTTCTTACGGGTATGACACATTGAGAATACCTCCTTTTTATTTATTTATTTATTTCAATTTTAATCTCATTATATTGACAGAATTGATTACATTTGGGTATAATATTTAGGGGTGGCATTTTAGACCGAAAACCCGTAAAAACCAACCGAATTTACCTCAATGGAACCGCAATCGCGGGAAACTTAATTGCATTTGCGGTATGAAGAACCGAACCGCATTTGCAGTTGCGGTTGCGATATTTGATTTTCAAAATTTGCGGTTACCGCAAACTGCAACTATATTTAAAATAAATAAAAAATTACATTTTGTAGATAGCATTGGTGCTCAAACAACACAATGGGGTCCTTCAAATCCACTCACCACCACCAACACTTGAGTTTGTAACTTTAGTTTGTAACATTGGTGCATTACATTTTCCTTTTAGTTTGTAACTTTAATTAACTTTGAATTTTTCCTTTGGGTTGTAACTTTAATTCATTTTGCATTGCAT